ATATATATATATTTATTTGATGGACAGGATTGTGCTGATAAAGTTGGTATAACAGAAAGCAGGAACAAAATGGATTAAAGAACATGAGATTTGTAAAATAAACAATTGATAATAATGACATTAAAACAAGCTCTAGGTTTGTGGTTCCCAACTCTTGTCACAGTGACAATTGATTAGTAAATCTGCACTAAACAATAAAGATTCCAGCTTTGAGATTTTTATTGTATGGAAACATGCTTGAGGTGATTTTTGTTGACAGATGAAATTAAAATGTTATTAATATGGACAGCTAAACTGCCTTTTGATTTTCTGGGTGACCCATGGGTCCATGAAGAAGAAATTTGTGTTCCAGGACTCCTGAAATAAACTCAGTGGATGCTATACCCTAATGAAGGTATGACAGTGCTCCCTCAGGAAACCTATGGAGCCCTGGGACTTCTTCAGTGCACCCAGAAAATGCCAAAAAACTTCACTGAGGACAACTGAAACACCTTCATGAATTCCAGAAACCATCTCAAGGAAGCCTCAAACTCTTAAGAGGAGAAACCCAGCACCTTTAGGAAATGTAGAGCCTTGAGCGTCCTAACAGAAATTTGAAAACAAAAAAGAAAAAGAAAAACAGGAACCCACTTAATGAACCTTCGAACATCACAACCCTGGAAAACACTCAAGTGATCCTGGAACTTTTAAAGACAACTGGAACATCCTAAGAGACTGCTGGAAGATGTGTGGTGACAATTTGGGAACCTTGTAAACAACCAGGAAAACCATGGAAAAGCTCAAGGAAAGTGACCCTATCAAAGAATTCTGAAAACCCATTTAAAATGCTCTTAAAGAGCCCATGGCATGCATTTCTGTGTTTTCTGATTTATCTACAATGTTACAATGATGAATTATCATAATAAACACAACTGAAAGCTCAAAAATGAGGTGTATCTATGTTGTTGTACTTCTGTGCAGAAGCAAATCATTGTACAAGTCTTGCAAACTCTCGCTGGCGAGATTTTTTTCCAACTATGCAAAGTCTTACACAATAGTTCACAGATTTCCTTGAATGCTCTTAATCGACAGGCAGTTGCGCACTCATGCGACTTTGCTTGACATCCAGCGGTGTCATTTTAAAAAGTGGAATTTTTGACTGTGCGCTGCTGCACTCTGACCACAGGATGTGGAGAAAAACACAGGTCCTGAGGTCAATGCATGTCCGAGAATATTCCTGTACAAGGACTCATTGTTTCCCTGACCGGGTCTAAACTACAAGCAGCCAGTCAGCACAGCACCTGTTTATTTTGACTGCTTGAGGCCAGTGTGTCTGTCGCATGTGATGTGTTGCTGGTTAACAAGCAGATTAGCTCTCCATGATGTTACTGTTGGTGCTGTTGGAATTAGTTTCAATACTTTGGGTCTGTATGTGGTCGTGTGGGGAAGACGTAGCGACCACTGGTTGGATTTACCGACCTGGGAGCTACTTGAAAGAGAGTGATGTTTCCATTACTGGGCGGGACTTAACAGTAAGTTTAAAAAACACATGTTGCTGGTCTGTTAATGCCTTGTTTCTGTAACATTAGAAAGAATTGTTGTAAGGCTGGAGATGTTACTGCCAGTTAAAATATGGGGTTTCTCATCTACCCACTTTATTTAGAGTGCTACACATCTCTTTTCATTGGTACATATAGCATTGTTTATAATTCAGATTAATGAATGCCAATGTAGTTCGTTGTGCTGTCCACTTTCATATTTTGGCTTGAACATGTCAGGTAGGATTTGACGTATTGTCATTATCAAAAATGTATCTTATTTGTCAATGTTTTTTTATTTATGCATTGTCCTGGCTTACTGACCAGTCTTGTGTTGAAAAGTGTTCCCCCATCAAGATATGTTTCCCCTGTTCAAAACTCGGTTTCATGTAGTGACCCCCTCAGTAGTTGTGATTAGGATAATGTTAGGATTCAGGTTAGGGGGAAACACATCTCGATGGGGAAACAGATTTCAACACAACACCAGCAGCAGGAGTTGTGCGTGTTCATGAACTATCCTCTCATTTTTAGGAAGAGGCTCTCTGGTTTTATTATTCTGAAATAATTACAGACTATTTGGAGTTATGAGGGGTGCCAAACTAATCTAGAGGTACCCCAGGATTAAACATTAAATGGCTGGAAGTGAGCATGCCATGGCATAGGAGCAATCTGACCTCTTGTGGTAAAAAGAAAAAAGTGCAGCAGTCCTACTATGCAAGTCATAAAGATAAGATATAGATAACCTTTATTGTCATTGTACAAGAAATGTACAATAAGATTAGGAGTGCTACATCTTAATGAGTGCCAGATATTTAAAAAACACACCATACACATCATAAGATGTCAAAAAATAATGTAAAATGTGAATAAATAGTATATAAACATAATAAATAAATGAAATATTGCACAGGAGAAAAGATACTGCACTGTGACTACAGTGAAAGAATTTGATTTATCAGCATCTGACGGCCCATGGGTGGAAACTGTTTTTGAGTCTGTTTGTACATGTATTCAAACTCATGTGTCTCCTCCCAGATGGCAGGAGAGACAACAGTTTGTAGCCTATAAGGGAGCAGAGCAGTCTTTTATAATGTTCTTGGTTATAATGTATCTGTGGTCCCCTGATGTAAAAGTGGGAGTAGGATGCCTTTCAATACCAGATTGTAATCAAGTATTACCATTATGCACAACATGAAGGAATGTTTTTAGTTTATACTGTCAAGTTATGATGGAATACACTTTGATTCCCTAATTGCAAATGAGTAATCATTTGCAGGGAAATTTAACTTCTCTTTGCTGCAGTCTGCCATTCAGATATAAGTGATGGACAAAATATTTCCTGGCAAAAAGTCTTCCAGCCTAAATTACCATATAGCCTTGTTTAGCCCTACCCTGTGATACTTCTGGTGGCCTTTGGAGCTCAACTTTGAGAACACATCGAAATAAGCTCAAATAAAGAAACATCTTCACCAATTTGACAACACAGATGCAGAAAAATATATTTAAAATGAGAAAACACAACCAAGTTCAGGAATGCACTGCAAATACAGTAAACACAACCAAATACAGAAGCATCTTGCACATACAGAAATCACAACTAGTACCCTAAAAATTGCTGCAAATACAGAAAACACAACCAATTAGCACAGATGACAACAGAAATGTTTCAGGGGACCCTAAAAGTGATGAACACAGTTGGTACAGCTTTTTAACACATGAACACATTATCTGAATGACATTTAATCTTTCAGCAAATCTGTGGCTATTTAATTGTACTTTCATGGTTTTTTCTGTATTTGCAGCTAATTACAGTAACCTGTTCAAGTCAAATTAAATAAAATGTATTTATAGAGCACACTTAAAATGACCAAATTTGACTAAAGTGCTTTACAAATTTCAGTAAAGGGCAAAATATTTAAAATAAAACACTAGGAGCAAAATTAGAGTACATACACAAATGCAGTATAAAACTACAATATAAAATAATGGATACAACAGCATCATATGGTAAAAGACACCTAAAATAAACAAATAAAGCAAACATTACAGTCATTAAGAATACACAGGCCATTGAAATCAAGTCCTACATCTTGAGGTTTACTTTTAAGTTTTTTATTGTATTCTGTTATTGCCGCTCACTTAAGTGTATGGTTCTGTTTTCGAGCTTGGTGTATTCTTTTCTAAATGCTGTGTCTGTAACCAAATAGACAGAAACTGTTGTTTCAAGTATTTTTATGCGTTTTCTTAAGTTGCAGTGTGTTGACCTCTCTGGGCCACCGTAGTCTTCGACCCATAAGAGCGTTTCCGGAATTAGCGCCTCTGCCGGCCACATGAAATATGAAGAATTACGAGTTATTTTTCGCCTCTGTGGTTTTGGTATTATCAATGGACTAACGTTATATCTATTACGACATTCATTTAAGTACATGTGAAATATAACAAAGGTACGTGGTCAATAAGCAGAGATAAAACTGTTCGGGGGGAACATTAAGACAGCGCCTTTAAATGTTGTTTCACCTTCTAGTATTAACGCCTTCAAATTTACTATGGATTGTATTTGGAATAGCGTCATAAATCTAATGTAATGTTAGCGAACAGTTATCTTTGACAAAGTTAGCTAGTTTATAATTGTCACAGATAACCACTATGTGACGTTACCCATTGTTTTTATGAACATCCCATCCCTCAATTGCTACTCGAAAGACAATGGTTATTATTACAGAGCATTATAATTCTGCAAGACAGTTAAATAGGGAATGTTAGACACGGTGTCCAACGTGCGTCTAAAGCCCTTCCAATTACACGACTGTCTATTTAAACTGCTGAAAGGATGTGGACGTTAGATTTTTAGACGTCAAGTCACAAGCAAGTAATAGAAGAGACGGCGAAGAGGACAGATGCAACAGATGTTAAACCGATTTCTGTGACTGGTGAAGTCATCATAAATCACAGGCTTTATTTTGTTATAAGCTGCCAAATATGGTGTATATATGGTTTTGTTTAGGGTCGCACATTTCGGTGATGATGTAGAGAAATCAGATTCTGTCACTGGTGTAAAAATACTCAAAACCTTTACTTAAGTAACCAAAGCAACACTGTAGTAATACTCGATCACAAGTAACGTAAAGACTTCTACTTAAGTGAAAGTAACGTTATAGCAGTATTATTAAGAAAATGTATTCAGAAGTGTAAGTACTCGGCCACTGTGACTAAAATGATCATACAGTGATTATATTATCAGTTTGTCAATTCATAATGTGCAGCTAGTTTTAATTACTTTATCAGTGGTTCCCGAATTGGGGAACTGGGAATTCTGATTGATTGGACAGGAAATAAAAGGCTGCTTGAAAGACCAATGGTTTGAACAAATATTGACAGATGAGGGTCTCTAGACACCCTTAATGTGACCCTCACTGTACAGTGGGGGCACATTTTGGCCTTTACACCTATCATTACATACAGGATGGTCCTATCTAAAATCTGTGAAGACATCCTGTTTGGTAACAGCTAGCAAAATTAAAGATGTAATGAAACATTTGTAATGATGGAAAATGTGGCAACACACAAGACCAGTTAATTAAGTTAG